TGTAGATGGGCAGTTTCTAGAAGTCTCTATGCTTGTGAACATATTACATAATACTGAAATGTTAACTATGGAGTAGACAGTTCCTGCTCAGTAGGGATCAACAGCTTATAAATATGATTGACAGGTGTGCCAATTGATGGATTCTAGTTACCCTAAAAAATATTGGGGCAAAATGCATTTTGTGTCCTCAGTTATAAGTTATATTAATGTCTTTTTTTAACCTTATGAAATTCTTTAATTTTACATTTCCACTTTTTTCAACATGTTAACTTGAAAAATTTCAAACCCATAGAACAGTTGCAAAAAGAGCACCACACTCACTTTTATATTCTTTACATAGTCAGCATTTGTTAACGTTTTGATACATTTACTTTATCTCTATTATGTGAGCACTAGAGGCCCAGTGCACGAAATTCGTGCACTGGGTTGGGTATGTGTGTGTGTGTGTGTGTGTGTGTATGTGTGTGTCCGTCCCTTAGCCTGGCCTGCGCTCTCTTGCAGTCCGGGACCACTTGCTCCTTACCGTCCGCCTGCTCGTTGCTCCTTACTGCTCAGCTCGCTTCTCTTTAGCACTGCTGTGGAGGCGGGAGAGGCTCCTGCTACCACCGCTGTGCTCGCCAGCCGTGAGTCCGGCTCTGGCTGAGTGGTGCTTCCCCTGTGGGAGCGTGCTGATCACCAGGGGGCAGTTCCTACATTGAGTGTCTGTCTCCTGGTGGTCAATGTGCATCATAGCGACTGGTTGTTCTGCCGCTCATTCCACCGTTCAGTCATTTTGCATATTAGGCTTTTATTATATAGGATGTTTTCTCTTTCCCTCCCTCTCTCCCTCCTCATTCTCTTATGTAAATATAATACCATTATCATATGCAGGGAATTGAGCACTGATATAATTACTATTATTAAAATACAACCTATATGCCTGGCTGCGGTGGCTCAGTGGTTTAGTGTTGACCTCTGAAGCAGGAGGTCATGACTCGATTCCCGGTCAGGGCACATATCTGGATTGTGGGTTCGATCCCCAGTGTGGGGTGTGCAGGAGGCAACTGATCAATGATTCTCATAATTGATGTTTCTATCTCTTTTTCCCTTTCCCTTCCTCTCTGAAGTCAATAAAAATATATTTAAAAAATATATAGTCTCTATTCACATTTCTCTAGTTGTCCCAATAATGTTTGTTTTAGCTGTATTTTTTTTTAAATCGAACCTGGGACCCTTCAGTCTGCAGGCCGATGCTCTATCCACTAAGCCAGACCAGCTAGGGCTAGCTGTTTTTTAAAAACCAATTTAATATCCAGTCAAGAATCACACATTGTGTTTTGTTGTCATTTTTCTTTAATCTTCTTTAAAAACAGTTTCCTAGCCTTTTTTGTGTGATATTGGTATTGTGACAAATGACACTGATGTTTAAAACTTTTAGAAATATATATATTTTTATTGATTTTAGAGAGGAAGGGAGAGAGGGAGAGAGAAACAGAAACATCAATGATGAGAGAGAATCATTAATCATTGATCAGCTGCCTCCTGCACGCCCCACACGGGATGAAGCCTGCACCCCAGGAATGTGCCCTAACCGGAAATTGAATGTGACCCCCTGGTTTATAGGTTGATGCTCAACCACTGAGCCACACCAGCCTATTGTTTTGAAGTCTATTCCTCAGTTTGGATTTGTTTAAATATATCTTCATGGCTAGATTCAGCTTAAACATTTTTTGACAGGATTGCTATAGAGATGTGTCTTTCTCAGTGTATCACATCATTGTTATTGGTGCTGTTAAACAGGACAGCTTGGGCCGAAACCGGTTTGGCTCAGTGGATAGAGCGTCGGCCTGCGGACTGAAGGGTCCCAGGTTCGATTCCGGTCAAGGGCATGTACCTGGGTTGCGGGGACATCCCCAGTAGGAGATGTGCAGGAGGCAGCTGATCGATGTTTCTCTCTCATCGATGTTTCTAACTCTCTATCCCTCTACCTTCCTCTCTGTGAAAAAATCAATAAAATATATTAAAAAAAAAAATAGGACAGCTTGGTTAAGTTGATATTTGTTAAATCTCACTATGTCCTCTTCCCTACAACTTGCCACTTAGTGGTGGTTACAATAACTTCTTCAGGAAAAAAAACAATGCCTTAAAAATTTTTCTCGGTACATAGTTCATTTAGACTTCATAAAAGGTAGATATTATACACTCATTGACAATTTATTGAATAAAGGAATGCTTAACATATATTAGCATTTACTCTATTAGTTGAGTTTAAAAACATTATCTTACTAGTAAAAGAATTGAGTAAATCAGCTTCTGCCAGCTAGAGTCTGCAGGATACAGTACCTGTTTAAGCATCCATTGTGCTACTGGTACCAAAACCAGAGGTTCATTAAAAAAACATGAGAGAGGGTTTCTGTCCTTTGGATATTGGTTCTAGAATAGGCTGATGATGTTTTTGGATTCTTGCATTACAATATTGATTTGGGTAATGAGGCAATAACTTGAAAGAGCCAGGAACAGATTTCCCAGGGCATAGACTATTTTGCATAACAGGAGGGGCCATGATTTGGAAATGAAGTTGTAACAGTGGCACCTGGGATGGATCCATTACCCTTGAGGGAAAATAACAGTTGTATTTTTCCCCAGTCCAGTTTGTTCCAGGCAGGGATGTCTTAGTTGCTGTGTATTTTAGGGCACACAGGGATTAGTAACTCAATTTCAAGCAAAGATAGGGCTGACTTCCTGACTAAGTAGGCAATGATGACATATGATTTGATTTGTCATTTTCAATTTTAAAAGAACCATATCGCATATCCTGATTATGCATTGTCCTTCCTGTGTTCCATTCCTTTTAAATCTGATATTCTTTGTGACCTCAGTGTAGTAGTGGTCATTTAGGCCAAGCAGCACTTTGTGAAGTCTCAGCTATTTGTTGAATGACTAGTAGCATTTGGTAAGCTTCACATGCTCATTTGATTACAGTGCTGACATCACTGTGCCGATGACCAAGGCCTAAGTCAGATCCTTGTGTTAACTGCCGACTAGTTTTACTTATTGACTGGGGAAATCACCCATTTGTTTGACCCGTGTTTTTGAAATTTTGTATCATCATTTTCATTATATAGCCTCACTCCTGGCTTAAGAACTTACAGTAGTTTTTGTTGCACATTATGTCAAGCCCAAACTCCTTCCTGAAGTTTTAGGATTCTGCATTACTGGTTTTCATTTGTACAGTCCAGTCTTACTTTTTCACAATTCCATAATTATTGTCCACTTCAGTTAAGCTTACTACTGTGTGACCTTAAGCAAGTTTTAAAATCTTTGAGCCTCAGTTGAATCTATAAAGGAGAAATAATAGCTCCTATATCACAGGGTTTTTAATGAGAATTAAGTGAAATAACATTTGTATTTTTAAAATAATAACCTCCACTTAGGGAGATCTTAATAAGTACCAGAAGTATGCTATACTTCTAAAATTTGTTGTCTCTGCATTCTTATCATAGCTTTATGGGGTAGGATGAAGTGGTGGTGGTGGTGGTGGTAGTAGCACAGGTAGTGGTGATAATAGATGGCATGAGGTACCTCTGTTCTAGGTACTTTACATATTTCTATTTAGTCCTGTTAAACAATCTTATGGGGTTGGTACTATAATTGCTATTTTATAGATGAGGAAATTTAAGCACAGAGAGGTTCAATAACGTGCCTAAGTTTGTAATGTACATAGTAAATGTACAGTGGAGCTGCACTTTTAGGTACCAGTTTATGCCCTTTTTTTTTTTTTTTTTGGTCTATTTGTTTTAGATGAGGAAGCTTAGAGGGGTTGATTAACTCACTAAAACTCATATACCTTATAAGTAGCTGGGCCATAATATGAACCCAAATTTGTCTGATTTTAAAACTGTGTTTATAATTATTATACTAGACTTTCTTTAGATTATCAAAAACAATAAATACTTTCTATTGTATCATAGAATGGATCAATTTAATGCAAGTCACATTGCTATGCTCATTCATAAATGAAAGATGACTTTTTGCCTTGGCTGTTACACAAGGGTGCTAGGCTTTTGACCTCTGCTTGACACATGAACTGTAGAAGATGAACATCTTTGTTGTAGTTTTGTCGATATCTGTCAAGATCTCTGACATTGCTGGAATTCCCAGTGGTGATGCTAGTGTTAAGGATCCCATTTCTGGCGATTCAGCAGGAGGACTTGGGCTGCCCAAGATGTCAATAGCTGATGGAAGGCAGATGGTACTGGAGAGAGGCCGTGGCTGTGGGATGAGAAGCACCGTTTCTCCAGATGATTTTAGCACCCTCACACTGTTTATTGATCCTACCCCCAGTGTTCTTCCTGTAACTAACTCCCCCCTGATGTTTGATTTCTCTTAACTTTTGCCTACATAGACTAGGGATAAGAGTATTTTAATCCCCTACCTGTGTGATGGATGTGTGGTATACAGTGGCTGTAAAAAGGAAGGTATGCTCTAAAATTGTCCATTATCAGCTAAACCAAGGGCATTTCTCCAAAAAGCTGTAGTCCCTAAATTCCTGAACTGGACTACTGAATTTTTAAAAAAATAATTAATTTTTTAAATTCTTACCCTAGGATATTTTTTCCATTGATTTTTTTTTTTTTTTTTTTTTTAGAGTGAAAGGGAGGAGGGAATGGGAAGGGAGGGAGGGAGATGAGAGAGAGAGAGAAGAGAGAGAGAGAGAGAGAGAGAGGGAGGGAGAGAGAGAGAGGGAGGGAGGAGAGAGAAACATCAGTGTGAGAGAGATACATCTACTGGTTGCCTCCTGCACCCAACTGAGGCTGGGGATCCAACCTGCAACTGAGATATATACCCTTGACCGGGAATTGAACCTGCGACCCTTTGGTCCTTGGGCCAATGCTCTAATCACTGAGTCATACCTGCCAGAGCTGGACTACTGAATTTTGACAGAGGCATTATTATATAGATATTTAATTCACACAAAATGATTTGAACCCAGACTATGATAATTAACTTTTCTTTTGCAGGAAGGATGCCAATTCTGCGCTGCTCAGTAACTATGAGGTAAATAGCTTTGAAGTATTTTCCTCTTTGATAGTTTTGTTCTTTGCTTTTGAAGATTATTGAATTAACTGTAGTTAGAAATGACTGAATTAATTTGGACTTTCCACTTTAAAATATGACAGATGGCACTATCTGGTGGACCTTGTAATATCCCAAGCTTGGTAAATTACATTAATTCAGGAAAACTGAGAAGACTTTAGTGTACAGTAGGTAATCTTCCCCACATCTGAAAATTTTAGATCTTTATATGGAAGGCTTCATGAAGAGTGGAAGCATCTATTTTGGAACTCTTTCTATCAGCAAAAGCTTCTATTAAAATATGTATGCTTTTTTCTTAATTACCACTCTTTACTTATAAAATACTTCTATGTCATCATTTTGATCCTCACAGTATTCTCATAAATATTAAAATCTTCATTTTGAAAGTGAGAGCTTAGTTGACTCACCATTATCATTAATGATTTAGTAAGAACTAACAGATTGGGGATTTTGGGGCTGAAGGGTTGGGTTGTTGGGGAAAGGGAGGAAAGAAGGAAAGAGGTTGGTGAGAGGGGGGAGGATATAACATTATTTTGCCTACCTTCCATTTGCCTGGATCTTGTTTGGCACTAGTAAAATCATCTGATAGGTTAATTCCCAGTGTAGAAAGAGCCCTTCATACATATATTCATTGTCTATTTTTCATATGTCAGAGTCTAAACCAGCCGTGGGCAAACTACGGCCCGCTGGCCGGATCTGGCCCGTTTGAAATGAATAAAACTAAAAAAAAAAAAAAAAGACCGTACCCTTTTATGTAATGATGTTTACTTTGAATTTATATTAGTTCACACAAACACTCCATCCATGCTTTTGTTCCGGCCCTCCGGTCCAGTTTAAGAACCCATTGTGGCCCTCGAGTCAAAAAGTTTGCCCACCCCTGGTCTAAACTCAGAAAGACTTGTAGGAGACTTGGGTCTCCACTTTGTGATATACTAGTATATAGAAGGTAGTTGAATTAAGACAGTTGGCCATATTCCTCTCGTCCCAAAGATTCATCTTAAATGGTTGCTGCTCATAACAGGAAGAAATGGTTGTTGGTTAAGCCATTGGCTTTTAGGAATTTCCTTTTCCAGTTTGGACTGGTAAGTGTTTGGGTGTTTTATCCATTGGAGAAATATTGATTGCCTTAGTTGGGTCTCATGGCACTATTTCTGAAAATGACAGGCAGGCAAGGAGTTGCATTGTATCTAGTAATGGTCTATGAATCTGTGAACCTGTAATACTTCCCTGAATTTTCTGTATAATCTCTAAAACAGGAGAGAGTTATACGCCCCACACCCTTCTTAACACTAATACACATGTTTTTCCCCTTATGGGGAAAGTTACTTATTAAGTCCTATAGCATTTTCCCCTCCCTGCCCTCCCCCCCCCCTTTTTTTTGTTAATCCTCACCTGAGGATATTTTCCCCATTGATTTTTACAAAGAGTGGAATGGGAGGAAAGGAGGGAGGAAGAGAGAGAGAGAAACTGAGGGAGAGAGGGAGAGAGTCAGGGGGAGGGAGAGAGGGAGAGAGAAAAAGGCAGGGAGAGAAGAAGATGGAGGGAGGGAGGGAGAGAGGGAGGAGAGAGGAGAGAGAAAAACAGCGACAAATGTGTAACCCAAGCACGTGCCCTTGACCAGAAATCGAACTTAAGACAATTCAGTGTGCAGGTTCACACTCTAACCACCGAGCAACACCAGCCAGGGCCCCCTCTTCCCCCCGTTTTTTGTAAACTATATTTTGGCACTTGCCCAAAGTAAAGTATAATAGATTTTCATATTAGAGAGGTAGGATCCATTTATTTTTAATTTTTTAAAAAAATTGATTTTAGAGAGGAAGGGAGAAGGAGCGCGAGAGAGAAACATCAATGATGAGAGAGAATCATAGATTGGCTACCTCCTGCATGTCCCACACTGGGGATCAAGCCCGCAACCAGGGCATGTGCCCTGACTGGGAATTGAACTGTGACCTCCTTTTTAATAGGTTGACGCTCAACCACTGAGCCACTCTGGCTGGGCTAGAATCTGTTTTTTTTAAAAAATTATTTATTTTAGCCCTGACTGGTTTGGCTCAGTGGATAGAGCGTAGGCCTGCGGACTGAAGGGTCCCAGGTTCTATTCTGGTCAAGGGAATATACTTTGGCTGCAGGCACATCCCCTGTGGGGGGTGTGCAGGAGGCAGCTGATAGATGTTTCTCTCTCATCGATGTTTCTAGCTCTCTATCCCTCTCCCTTCCTCTCTGTGAAAAATCAATAAAATATATTTTTTAAAAATTATTTATTTTAGTAAAATTTACTTTTATTTTTTTTTTTCTTTTTTCACAGTTCTTTTTTTTTTTTTTTATTGCTTAAAGTATTACAAAGGGTATTACATATGTGTCCATTTTATCCCCCCGCCCTAGACAGTCCCCTAGCCTCCCCTATCCCCCAATGTCTTATGTCCACTGGTTATGCTTCTATGCATGCATACAAGTCCTTTAGTTGATCTCTTACCCCCCTACCTCCTGCCCCGCAACCCTCCCCGGCCTTCCTGCTGCAGTTTGACAATCTGTTTGAGGCAGCTCTGCCTCTGTATCTATTATTGTTCAAAAGTTTATAATGGTCTCTATTATCCATGAATGAGTGAGATCATGTGGTATTTTTCCTTCATTGACTGGCTTATTTCACTTAGCATAATGCTCTCCAGTTCCATCCATGACGTTGCAAATGGTAAGAGTTCCTTCCTTTTTAGAGCAGCATAGTATTCCATCGTGTAGATGTACCACAGTTTTCTAATCCATTCATCTACTGATGGGCACTTGGGCTGTTTCCAGATCTTAGCTATGGTGAATTGTGCTGCTATGAACATAGGGGTGCATATATCCTTTCTGATTGGTGTTTCTGGTTTCTTGGGATATATTCCTAGAAGTGGGATCACAGGGTCAAATGGGAGTTCCATTTTCAGTTTTTTAAGGAAACTCCATACTGTCTTCCATAGTGGCTGCACCAGTCTGCATTCCCACCAGCAGTGCACAAGTGTTCCTTTTTCTCCACATCCTCTCCAGCACTTGTCGTTTGTTGATTTGTTGATGATAGCCAGTCTGACAGGTGTGAGATGGTACCTCATTGTTGTTTTGATTTGCATCTCTCGGATGATTAGTGACTTTGAGCATGCTTTCACATGTCTCTTGGCTTTCTGAATGTCCTCTTTTGAAAGGTGTCTATTTAGGTCCTTTGCCCATTTGTTGATTGGATTGGTTATCTTCCTTTTGTTAAGTTGTATGAGTTCCCTATAAATTTTGGAGATTAGGCCCTTATCGGATATGACATTGGCAAATATGTTTTCCCACACAGTGGGTTTTCTCGTTGTTTTGTTGATGGTTTCTTTTGCTGTGCAGAAGCTTTTTATTTTGATGTAGTCCCATTTGTTCATTTTCTCTTTAGTTTCAAGTGCCCTAGGAGCTGTATCAGTGAAGAAATTGCTTCGGCATATGTCTGAGATTTTGTTGCCTTTGGATTCTTCTAGAATTTTTATAGTTTCCTGTCGTACATTTAAGTCCTTTATCCATTTTGAGTTTATTTTTGTGTATGGTGTAAGTTGGTGGTCTAGTTTCATTTTCTTGCATATATCTGTCCAATTTTCCCAGCACCATTTATTGAAGAGACTATCTTGGCTCCATTGTATGTTCTTGCCTCCTTTGTCAAATATTAATTGAGCATATTGGTTCGGGCCGATTTCTGGGCTCTCTATTCTATTCCATTGATCTATATGCCTATTCTTGTGCCAGTACCAGGCAGTTTTGAGAACAGTGGCTTTGTAATACATCTTGATATCTGGTATTGAGATCCCACCTACTTTGGTCTTTTTCAGGATTGCTGCAGCTCTTCGGGGTCTTTTTTTATTCCAGATGAATTTTTGGAGAGTTCGTTCTAGATCTCTGAAGTATGCCGTTGGTATTTTAATGGGAAGTGCGTTGAATTTAAAATATATTTTATTGATTTTTTACAGAGAGGAAGGGAGAGGAATAGAGTTAGAAACATTGATGAGAGAGAATCATATATCAGCTGCCTCCCGCACACCCCACACTGGGGATGTGCCTGCAACAAGGTACATGCCCTTGACCGGAACCGAACCTGGGACCCTTCAATCCGCAGGCCGATGCTCTCTCCACTGAGCCAAACTGGCTGGGCGTAAAATTTACTTTTAAATACTCAAAATATTTTTGAGATCAGAAGTATGGTATATATTGGTAGGAAACATTTGAAATATTTTAAGTAAACTAATGAATTTGAATTATTTGACTTAGATAAAAATATTTTTAAAAGGTCACATATTTCTTGGATTCATATTTGCTCTAATGTAAGAGTTGGGGTGTACTATTTTATCGTCAAAATCAATGACCTTGGAATAGATATATTTCTCAAACTCTAATTTAAAAATCTTTTGTATATATCTTTTCCTAGGTGTTCCAGTTACTAACTGATCTGAAAGAACAGCGTAAAGAGAGTGGAAAGAATAAACACAGTACTGGACAACAGAACTTGAATACTATCACCTATGAAGTAAGCCTAGGCTTCTGGAGGGTCTACCTGAACTGTCTTTGAGGAGGGTTTGTTTATTCTTCTAATGACTAGCCACCAAATCAAGTTTGCCTATTATCTGATTTGAATAGTTGTACTATAATCCTGTTGTTATTCTGTTTATAAAAGTGCAAAGAGTTTGGCCAGTTGCCAGGGTTAGCCAACTCTAAAATTAGAGGAATAGTCTATAAGACTGCGCTCACTTTTAATACCAATTTCAATTCAGGGATCCCAAGACCACCCTCAGATTTAGTAATTGTCTAGAAGTATTCACAACTCACTGAGTGCTATCATATTCTAGGTTACTGTTTATTACAGGGAAAGGGTGCAGAGTAAAATTGGTCAAGGGAAGAAGCAAGTAAGGCAGATTCCAAGAGAAATATCTAATACAGAATGTTGTTCTCTTAATGTGGTTATGTGACAGTATGCACAGAATATTGTACCAATAAACCAGGGAAGCTCAGCTGAGCTTCAGTGTCTGAAGATTTTATTGGGGCTCTATTACATAGGCATGATTGAATAATTAATTGCCCATGTAGCTCATCTCAGCCTTCAGGCTGAGTGATACTGTATGACCCAAAGCTCCTATCCTAAGTCACATTGTTGAGACTATCCAATATGATTTAAGGCATGAGACAAAGATACTTCTATAAGCTATAACATTCCAAAGAGTCTGGAGATTACCTCCCAGAAGCTGAGGTCAAAGGCCAGATTTGGGCAATGTCAAATTCTTTATTATACACAAAGTAATACTTACTATTCTAGAAAATTTAGAATGTACCAAAAAGTATAAAGAAGACAGAAAAAGTAATTCATAATCTTGATCTAGTGGACATTTTGCTACATTCTCTCCCAACCTTATGCTTTGTCTTTAAAAAAGAAAGTTTAAGCCATTGTATTTGTTATAGGTGATGTTTGATTTTTTTTTTTTAATTCTCACCTGAGGATATTTTTCTATTGATTTTTAGAGAGTGGAAGAGAGAGGGAAAGACAGAGAGAAACATCGATGTGAGAGAAGAAACACATTGATTGGTTGCCTCCTGTGCAAGCGCCGACCGCTGCCCAGGGTTGGGAGGAACATGCAACTGAGGTACATGCCCTGGGACCCTTTGGTCCGCAGGCCAACGATGTATCCACTGAGCAAAACCGGCTAGGGCTGTGATGTTTGAATCTGTCATTTTAATTTATCTTGCTATTTCCTTCCAGTTCTGATTTTGTCTATAAAGGATTTAATTTCTTTAATTTTTCTTTTCAAAGATAAGAAATTTGAATTAAGCTTATCATAATCCCTTTTAAGGAAAATAAGGAGGTTAGCACTTTTGTCACTATTCCTCCTTACTCACTTTTGTTCATTTAATCCTGTATTTAAAATCCTATCATTCATTCATGTTCTTTTACATTATATAGTTCATACCTTTCTTTTCTTTAAATATTTTTTATTGATTTCAGAGAGGAAGGGAGAGGGAGAGGGAGTTAGAAACATCAATGATGAGAGAGCCGAAACCGGTTTGGCTCAGTCGATAGAGCGTCGGCCTGCGGACTGAAGGGTCCCAGGTTCGATTCCGGTCAAGGGCATGCACCTTGGTTGCGGGCACATTCCCAGTAGGGGGTGTGCAGGAGGCAGCTGGTCGATGTTTCTCTCTCATCGATGTTTCTGACTCTCTATCTCTCTCCCTTCCTCTCTGTAAAAAATCAATAAAATATATTTTTAAAAAAATGATGAGAGAGAATCATTGATTGGCTGCCTCCTGCTCACCCCCCCCTCCCCCCCACCAGGGATTGAGCCCGAAACTGGGGCATGTGCCCTGGACTGGAATCGAACCTGGGACCCTTGAGTCCACAGGCTGACACTCTATCCAGTGAGCCAAACCAGCTAGGGCTAGTTCATACTTTTCAAAGAAGAAAAAAAGATATGTTGGCAATTTTTTTTATAAACTAATTAAAAAAAACTACTAAGTACTTTTTTTTTAATCCTCACCTGTGGATATTTTTCCATTCATTTTGAGAGAGAGGGGAAGGGAAAGGGAAAGACAGAAACATCAGTGTGAGAGAAACACATGGATAGGTTGCCTCCTACACACACCCTGACCAGGGCCCGGGCCTGGGAGGAGCCTGCAACCGAGCTATATGCCCTTGACCAGAATGGAACCTGGGACCCTTTGGTCCGCAGGCTGACGCTCTATCCACTGAGCCAAACTGGCAAGGGCAACTACTATGTACTTTTAACTACACATTTAAGCAGTTTAAGCTCATTGCCACTCCTTAAGTTCTTGCTTTTAATACGTGGTGCCTTAAGAAAACTTTCTGTGGGACTAAATGTTTTGAGATGTTTTATACCTGAGAATATATTTCTAGTGTGTTTTTTAAAAATATTTTATTTTGGGAGTATGTTTATTAAAACTGGGAATAGTGAAACACAGGAAGGGCTCAGGATAGAAGAAGCAATAGGAGAAAGCCTATGTGGGGCTACTTCGGCTCACTGAAAATTCATAGAAAAAGAGGCCTTGGAGACAGGGTCAGGGAGTTAGCTGAGGACATCTGCCCTTTCCCATTGCTACACTGGTTGCAAATCTCATGGGGGCTCTTAGAGTTTTGCCAGAGAGGGAAGAAAGGCATGGATGGGTGTGCTCCCAGGAGGGAGTTCTTAATGTGAATGACAATTCATTTGAATATGGAGCTCTTGGGTTCAACTATTATTTTGTAGGTCTCTATACAAAGTACTTGATCTATTAGTATTCGTTGTTATGGAGGAGTGTGTGACTAACCTGATGTTTGTACTTTTTGTTGTTGTTGATAATCGTCACCTGATGATATTTTTTCCATTGGTTTTTAGAGAGAGTGGAAGGGAAGCAGGGAGGGGGAGAGAGAGAAACATTGATGTGAGAGACACACATTGATTGGTTGCCTCTTGCAAGCCCAACAGGGGCTAGGGATTGAACCTGCAACCCAGGTATGTACCATTGACCAGGCATCGAACCTGAGACCCTTTGGTGTACAGACTGACACACTGACCACTGAGCGACATGGGCCAGGGCTCTCCTTAATCTTTTGCCTATTAATTTTAGCATTCATTGGTGGGTCTTTGCTGCAGTAATTATTACTATGGTGGAGCTGCCTAATAGTGATTTGTTTACCTCATTTCTTTTATGTTTAATGGTTAGAATTCTTATATGAGAAATGGTTGATATTTCTCATCAATGTATTTATTCAGTCATTTATATCCATATGGATTATTGGCTATTTATTTTATTCTTTGAGTTTCCTGTATTTAAAAAATTGTCTGAAATATAATGCAATTGACAGATTAAATTTTTTCTTCTTTTTAGGATCAGAAAAGTTTTCTTCTGAAATTTCATTATTCTTTTTGTTTTAGCTACTGGTTTACTTTTTGAGGAATTCCTATTATAAGAAGATGGACTCTCCTGAAGGCATTTGTTTTACAGAAGATTTTTGAAACAGAATTATAGAATACTAAATTATTTCTCATTCAGATTGGCTTTTTCCTTTTTTTTTGTAGACATTAAAATACATATCAAAAACACCATGCAGTCATCAGAGTCCTGAGATTGTCAGGGAATTTCTCACAGCAATGAAAAGCCACAAGTTGACCAAGTAAGTAAAAATTATCTTGAGGAGGAAGAATGGCTCTCAATGAAAATAACTTACAAAAGCCCCCTCAGAAACTGTGTATTTATATTTAGTTGGGCCTTGAATTCTAATTAACACTCAGTGTGTTCTTTTTATTTTATTTTTATATATTTATTGATTTTATTGATTTTTTTACAGAGTGGAAGGGAGAAGGATAGAGAGTTAGAAACATCCATCAGCTGCCTCCTGCACACCCCCTACTGGGGATGTGCCCATAGCCAAGCTACACGCCCTTGACCAGAATTGAACCTGGGACCCTTCATTCCACAGGCTGACCCTCTGTTCACTGAGCCAAACCAGTTAGGTCAGTGTATTCTTTTTTTAAAAAATTGATTTGAGAGAGAGAGAGAGAAAGAGAGAGAGAGAGAGAGAAACATTGATTTATTGTACCACTTATTTATGCGTTCATTGGTTGATTCTTTTTGTGTGTGTGTGTGTGTTGATCTTCACCTGAGGATATTTTTCCATTGATTTCTAGAGAGGGTGGAAGGGAGGGAGACAGAAACATCAATGTGAGAGAGATAAATTAGTTGGTTGCCTCTTGCACATGCCCTGACTGGGGCTGGGTTTCAAGCAACTGGATAGGGCTTCATTGGTTGATTTTTATATGTGCCCTGACCAGAGATCAAAACTGCAACCTTGGCATATCGGGATGACGTCCTAACCAACTGAGCTACTCAGTCAGGGCCTCAATATGCTCTTTTAAAGTAGTATTATGGTATTGGAGATGAGACAACTGAGAATTCAATATAGGGATCCTTCTAGAGCCAGCAATAGAAAATAGTGGGGGTTTTTAATCTCAAAAAAGTTTTTTGGAGTCCTAGTTCTATGATCTGGCCCATTACCCCTGTTAGTATTCAGACCAAATTGATTGAAAAAATGGGGTTCACAAATTAAACTGCTTTCTATAAAATTTATCAATTAAGGCATTTGACATTTGTTTTTTGGCTTGGGGCAAAATGGCTTGATAATATTCTGTCTGCTCTTCTAGTGCCCAGTTATTTTTCTTGGTGGCTTTCTTGAATAAGATAGGTTTGTAGGACTTAAAAACAATAATTAGGCCCTAGGTGGTTTGGCTCAGTGGATAGAGCATTGGCCTGTGTGGACTAAAGGGTTCCAGGGTCCCAGGTTCCATCCCGGTCAAGGGCACATGCCTGGGTTGTGGACTCAATCCCCAGTAGGGGGCATGCAGGAGGCAGCGATCAATGATTCTCTCTCTTCCTTCCTCTCTGAAATCAATAAAAATGTATTTAAAAAATAATAATAATTAGATCAAGCCTGACTGGTGTGGCTCAGTGGTTGAGCATTGACCTATGAACCAGGAGGTAATGGCTCAATTACCGATTGAGGCACATGGCCAGGTTGTGGGCTTGATTCCTAGTTGGGGGTGTGCAGGAGGCAGCCGATCGATGATGTTTCTCTCTCTCTCTCCCTCTCCTTTCCTCTCTGAAATAAATAAAAATATATTTAAAAAACATTAAAAAGGAATTAGATCAAGATTTTACATGAGAAGAAAACTTCCCTTAGTCTTTTAGAATTAATACCAGAGCTGATACATTTCAAAAGTGTTTGTCATTTCATTTAGGATAATAAAAAATTTTCTTTTGGAGGAACCATTTGGCTCATAGCACAGTTGATAAACTATCAATAAACTCAGTGCACTTTTCCTCTTGCCTCTCTTTTCCAAATGAACTCCGAAGACAAATATATTTCAAATGTGTGTACATATATGTGTGTGTATGAGTGTGTATGTATAGTTTGTCTTGTTTTCAGTTGTAAAATATATAGAATATTAAGTTTATCATCTTAGCCCTGGCCGGGTAGCTCATACATTGAAATAGTATTTAGTGGTTTTTTAACATTTACTTTCTATATTTCAAGGAATTTAAGAGTACAAAAATAGTCTTTTATGTTTCCCCAGAATTTTACCATTTCTTTTGCTCTTCATTTATTCCTGAAGTTTTATGTTTACTTTTTACTATGTACTTGAAGTTGTCCCAGAGGCTCCTTACACTATTTTCGTATTCTTTTTTCATTTTGCTTTTCCAGTTGGGTGTTTTTTGCTTCTTCACATTTCAAATCTTTGACTTGATTCTTGCGCTCCTCTGGTCTGCTGTTGGGAGTCTGTATAGTATTCTTTATTTCAGTCATTGTATGCTTAATTTCTAGTTGGTTCTTTATCATAACATCGAGGGTCTCATTACATTTATTGTAGATCTCATTAAGTTTATCGGCAGCTTCTAGACAGTTCTTGAGAGACCTTAAAAGTGTGGTTCTGAACTCTATATCTTCCCTTGACAATTTTGTCCTGTTTCTTTGTCTCCGCATTTTTTTTTATGCTTTCTTGGTGCACCCCCTAGTGGTCTTTGTGTACAGTCTTGTTGTAGTTAAGCCTTGATTGTTGTAGGTAATACTGGGGGGTTTGACCTTCAGGCCAACGGGCTGTGAGAGTCAGCTGTGTCTGCAGTGGGAAAACTTCTGTCCCCTGGGGAGGTGCTAATCTAGCCTTTGCCTGAGGCTATCTGACAAATGGCTCTGTGCTGGGCTTGGGCGGGGCGGGTCGCACGGGATCAGACAGGGCGGGTGGAGCGAGCAGTTATGGCTGCTCTCAGTTCCGTCCCTAGGGCTCTGCCTCACAGAGTCCCAGCAACCGCTGCAAACCTCAGAGAGAAAGCTGCCTTCGAGTTCCGACTGAAGCCAGACAGTCCCACTTCTCCCGTTTGAGTCTGGGTCCCTAGAGACTCGCCCGGATCTGGAGCTCAGAGTCTGAAACTCCCTCCCGATTGAAAACAACAACCACGCCCTCTGCCGCCAGCCTGCTCTGCGCGCACTCCGCACCTTAGTATTTCACTTCAGCACTGTGCCTCCTCTGAGTCTGGGTATGATATTCTCTTTCCTCCTAGTTGTAGAATTTCCACTCAGCCAGCCTTCCTGTGGTTCTGGATGATGTCTGTTCCGTCTTTTAGGTGTACCCTTGAATTGGTTGTTCGAGGTAGCAATCTTCGGCGTTAACCTATGCCGCCATCTTGGTTTCTCCCCCATTTATAGTTTCTGATTGCTATAACATTGCAGCAATTTGCAGATGGAATGGAACTTATTTTCGAAAGGGTAAAAACGTAAAAGGTCCTGCTGATAAGTAATAGATCACTGATTCAGCTATTTCAAATGAAAACTTCCTATTAGAGATTCTAAGTAATATGAACATTGAAAAATATATGCCAGTAGCCTCCTACCCAAAATGTGTAGGAGTCTCATTTCTGGAACCTATCATGTATAAAGATTCATACAGAATTAAAGATTTATTTTGGTGGCTTACAGATTCAAAATTTGAAAATTTTCATGGGACTATTTTTAATCATAATGAACAAAAAGACAATATCCAATCACTTCCACTCTGCCTCTCACATGTAAGAGCAAAAATTCAAAAAATAATGCAACAGAACTCTTCATCTCCTCCTGTCTGCATTACAGAGATTAATATATTTTTTTTACCACAGAGACCACATAGCAAAGGTACTATATATACTAGTCCCAGCCACCAAAGTCTTTTCCACACTATGGCAATAAAAGCAAGATTTAAATCTAATGAGCTAAAACTAATTCTTCAGATGAGACTTCACTGCATGGCCATTTTCATGGAAGGAGGCAGGAGGTTGCTATCCATTTGGACTAACAGAACACACAACCACGAAGAACCTTGTTTCAAAAATTTCCAGAACTTCAGAAGTTCTTGTTTAGTTTTTTTATGCCATATACAAACACAACACACATTTATAGTCTCAATATTAAGAAAATTGAGAATTGAGCAGCATATGACCTTTTGCATACAATACAGATATAATAGACTCTTCCATCTACTGTTAACTCATAGTGATCATCATATTTTACTTTCATACGTTTGTTGGCCGGCTCACTGCTAATTGTTTTTGGTATCTCATTCTCAAGTCTGGCCTCCCCTTCATCAGGGTCCTCTTTGACAGGGATCACTATGTCATAAATATTTTCACCAATATTTGCATAAACCTTGCCAGCAGCTGACAAGCCTTCAATTTCAGTAGCTGTATCTAAAGTAATGATCTTCTGACCCTCCATTAGATGTTTTGATTCTAAACCTGGATCATTAGTGTTTCTAGTAATTATATCTGAAACTTTTAAAGAATTGGAAAGTGGCTCTTGCGGAAGTGTAGGGATCTGCATCTTCTGTACCAGTGATCCATCAAAAGTGGTATTTTTGGGAGTATCAGCCTGTGGGACCAAAGATGTATTACTGACAGCCGAATCTGGACTGGAGCTAATAGTGTCGTCATCATCATCTATAATTTCCTCCTCCTCGTTGTCATTGGCCTTGTTTCCTTTCAAAACAGTACTGTTCGGTGTCTGCTGATTCTGCACAAGTAAGTTGATTGAAGGAGGCATATGATTTGGAAGTGAAGGACTGACATTTGGTGGCGTAGTATGTGGTGCCTGATTTAACAAAACGATGTTAGGAGTCAGATGTGTCTGGGCGGAAGATACCAGCACTTTTTCACTTCCTTGTGTTTGGCTCAGGGTTGCCTGGTTCACAGGAGTAGGAAGTTTCTGAGGAGGTGTGTTATTTGTTAAAGCAGGAGAGGTATTGCTAGCACAAGGTGCAACATCTGAAATAGCAACAGAGCCTGAGTTAGGCGGGGCCTGTGCCACTGCATTGGTACTTGGCAAAGTCTCCTTTGCAGGCAGAATCTCAGAGCAGAAAATAACATCATCATCATCATCATCATCATCGTCTGAATCAGTAACAATAATCTTTTTTGTCTCATAATCTTCAGCAGATAAGGAAAAAGACTCTGTTATAATAGGCATTATAGTTGCCCCATTATCTTGGGTTTTGTCTTTTGATTTTTGTACTTCAAGGTTCCTGTCACTAGAACCAGAAGATAAGGTTTCTGAATTACCATCCTGAGCAGTATGTGAGATGCTTTTAACCTGTGACAACGGGACACCAAGCTCTGCTATAAACTTAACTCCTAACAACTGCCCTGATTTAATTAACTCGTCAAGTAAATCTGATCTAACTCGAACAATTTTAGAACTATAGATATAATTGAGAATTTCTGCAAAGATCTCTGCTCTTATAAAGCTTAGTTCAACAACTTGCCCAGTAACTGAGAAGAGCTGATGGAAGTAAGTACTAGAAGCAGAAAGAATATTCCTGTGGGCCCGGAATTTTCGGTCTTCCACAATAACGGTAACATCACAGAAGAGTCCATGGCCTCGTTGCTCATTCAAGGAGTTCAGCAGACTGCCCGAGTATTGAATGTCTATAGCAGAAATCAGTTTTCTACTCTCCATGCCTGCTTTTCCGCCGCGCCGCTTCCCTTCCTCAGGTCGCGACTAAGGGTGGGAGTCCTCCAACAGCAAGAGGCCAGACTCCCACAGTGATTCGGCTCCTCCTTTAAACGTCTCTCCAGTCTTGGGCAACGTCAACGCGGCTGCCGCCACCGCTGCAACCGCTGCCCCACTTTCGCCGACAGAGGGCACAGCGCATGGGCGAAGTGCTGGAATCGAAGGCACCTTCCACCCCCGAGCGCACTCGGTTCTTTCAAGAAAACTTTTTATTAACGTTTCCAAACAATCCGTATGCTCATCACTCTCATTTCTTAGTTGGAGCATGTGTGACTACATTGACACAAAAAGATTTGGATAATCGAAACACAAGGAGGGGATCAGGACTTGGGGAAGGGAGCAGGGAGGAAGAAAACGATGCATCATCTTTCTTCTAGATTTACTTTGTCACAAAGATACAGATCTCAGACTACAGAGGTTGCAGGTAGTTTCAACTGGACTGAGTCTTCTCATGTGACAGTATTTTCTTTCAATCTGCGGTTCTGTAGACTATCAATAGAGACTACAGAGCAGTACTGTCCAGTAGAACTTTCTGTGATACTGGCAATATTTCTCTGCCCTATCCTACACAGTAGCTTCTAGCCACATGTAACGATCATTTTATTTTTATTTTTAAAAAATATGTGGGGTTTTTTTGTGTGGTTTTTTTTAGAGAGGAAGGGAGAAGGATGAAGAGATAGAAGCATCGATGAGAAAAACATCCTCCTGCATGTCCCCTTCTGGGGATTGAGCCTGGTAGACGGAACCCTTAGCAGTCTTGCCCGAGAAGACTCTCTGAATCTTGTGTCCCACAACCGCTCTAGGAGCCATTTCCTAAAGCTCCATGAATGTTTGTACTTCTGGGCATTTACTTGTGTGTTCCTGCCTTGAGTGCCCATTCTGTTTATCCTTTCTGCCTAGAAAGTCCTGCAGAGTCCAGTGCAAGGGTCTGCTCTGTGAAGTCTTCTTCTTCAAGTTGAGAGTAAATGTTTGGGGAATTATGAGGAATAGAACTGGACTACAACTTCAATATTAATGACTATTTATGGAGAAACTACTGTGTGACAGTCACCATTATGAACACTGCGAACACTGAAAGCAGATGATTAAGAACATGAGCTTTGGCCAAAACCGGTTTGGCTCAGTGGATAGAGCGTCATCTTGCGGACTGAAGGGTCCCAGGTTCGATTCCGGTCAAGGGCATGTACCTGGGTTGCGGGCACATCCCCAGTAGGAGATGTGCAGGAGGCAGCTGATCGATGTTTCTCTCTCATCGATGTTTTTAACTCTCTCTCTCTCTCCCTTCCTCTCTGTAAAAAATCAATAAAATATATTTAAAAAAAAAAAAAAGAACATGAGCTTTGGTGGTAGAGTCCCAGCTCTGCTGTTTACTAGCTGTGTCACCTTGGACAAGTTATTTCCAATCTCAGCGTCAGTTAAGTCTGACAGTTAAATGTGCTTCTCTAATGGAAAGTAAGCAATAAATGGTTGTTGCTGCCACCTCCTCACCCCTTGTGAGATAGTAAATATATCATCATGCATGTTTTACAAATGATGAAACTGAGGCTTAGGGAGTCTGGGTAACTTGTACTGCTTCCCGAAACACATGACTCTGGGATTTGTGGCTTACTCATCTTTTTATTCTATAGTGTCTTTAAACTCAGTAAGTATTTATTGTATTTAAAAATGTATCTGGAGCTCCAGGGTCAGATTGAAAGAAAAATTTAGAAATTGTTACCTGCATAGAGTGGTAATTGAAGTTGTTCTCTTAAGTCCTGTCATCTTTGAGAGTCCACGCATTTCAACCACCCCTTCAGCAGTGAGCTACGTAGTGCCATGTGGCAGATGGCAGTGATCTTCAACTGTTACTGAAATCTTTTTAAAATTTGTTTGCATTTGTCTTCTTTCCCCAACTGGTTTGTAAGCTCTTTGAGGGCAGAAGATGGTACTGTGTACTACTATGTATATTAACTCCTGCTCCCTTAAAGTCATTTTGTTTACTAAGATAATAGGTCAAACTTCAATAAGAGTTAATCTCAAAAAGGAATTCTTAAGCAGTGACCAACCAAGATTATTTTTTAATCTTTACTTTCTATTATCTGAATTAAGAAAACTTTTCTTACATTTTCCAAATAAAATTTATTGAACTTTCATCTCTAATATTTGTTACATTTATTACAATCTAAGCCTCTCTGATCTGTAGGATTCTAATACACATTTGTACCCTTGAGTTTCATTTTACAGTTGAGGAAGCTGAGGGCCATGTTCCAAGTGGTTCTCCCACTTGTCTTGCAAACTGTTCTCTAAACAACTTGGTAAAGAATCAAGATCCTTAGGGGTATGAGAGTTTTAAGTGCTTTGTAATTTATTTTTATTTATTTTTTGACAGAGCTGAAAAACTTCAGCTGCTGAATCACAGGCCTATGACTGCTGTTGAGATCCAGCTGGTGAGTGAAGGAGGCTGGTGTGTGTGTGTCGGGAATGGGGGTGGGTGGGTTGATTTATGGGTATGAGATGTAGAAAGGGTGATATAAAGGCTGACAACAGACAAGCCAGGAACTGACATAACTTGAAAAGACAGACCACTCCATTTTATGTGAAATTTGATCCTAGTTAGTATGGACTTAGGTAAAGTAGAAGACGAAATTTAATTCCTTCTACATGGTTTAGGCCTATGATTTGGTAGCTCTTTGTCTCACCTGATATCCTACATGATTCTGGCCATTGCTCCCCTGTAGGATTATTGTCAACCCAGATGTTGCGTACAAACATTAGACTCGGCATGACTCTGCTGGAATTCATCTCTCCCACTCCTACCCTTTGACCTGCTCTTCCTGAATTTCTTTTCTTGGTTAATGGAGGATATGTGCACTTTCCCACATGCTCTCTTTCTTACCCTCCTGGCCCAGTCTCCTAAGCCAGAAACCTGGAAGTCATTCTCTTCTTTTTATCACATTCAGTTAGTCCTCAGGTTCTGTTGCTTCTATCTCTTATTCTTCCTTTCATTACTGCACTGCATTACTCTGTCATCATATCTCAGTTATCCCCTCACCATTCTCCCTGTTCCAGTCTGGCCCCTTCACTATGTCTTCCACAGCACTATGTAGTTCATTTTCTAAAACCACAAATTTGATCTTATTTCCCTGCATAAAACCATTCAGAGGAGCCTCATCACTTGAAAAGTCTAAATTGCAGTCACAGCATAAAGCTTTAGAATTGTGGGAAGCAACTGGAGTAGAAAGCTGAGGTGGTTTAAGGAAAATGAAAATGAGGTCCAGTGATACAGATGAGTGTCTGCTGTATTGGCCTGCTGTTTCCTTCCGTTGTACAGAGCAAAGAGCATCATTAAGCTACAAATATTAGGCAGGCCATTTAACTGACAGTGTAAAACTTTGGCTGGAGAATTAATAAAATGAGAATAAAACTGTTTCCAAAGTCAGTTTTAGAAGTATTGAGCACTTTGTCAAATTTCCTTCAGAAAAGTGTGGAAGAAAATGGCCAATACTACCCATGATCTCTAGAATTGTTTAAAAAAACAAAACAAAAAAACTCTTTTCTTAAAGGGTCATGGGGTATTTAATTTTTGACTAAAACTTACTGTCTTTGCAGTGTTACTTCTGCCCTTCAGAATGTACTCAAAACTTAGAAAAGTTCCTTCCACAAAGGGTGCCTTTCTGGGTAACTGGTCTTCAGGACACACAGAGACTCCATTTTAAACCCTTATTATTCTTATGCTTTCGACTGTGTGTATGTTGGAGATTCAACTTGGAAAAGAGAAAAAACAAATAAAACAGCAAGAAACTAATTCCTTTCCCTCTGGGTTAAAGATCACATGGCATGTCTCCTCCAACTTTAATCAGCAACATATGTTATTCATGGCTTAAGGACAGATGGAGAAGAGATGAGGAGGATTAGTGTGACCTCATCCCAGAGCCTGTACAAAGCTCTATCATTACTTGTAAAATTAGCTGCTCTTAAGAATACCTATTGTATGCCAGACGTGGTGCTAGGGGCTTTGTATATGTTACCTTTAATGCCTCCATCATAATCTTGGCTAGTGAGTGGCTGATTGGGTCTGTCTAATTCACAAGTCTTACTGTGTTCCTCCAAGCCATGTACTTTTGCATCCCCTCAGACTGTTCTTTCTCTTCTCCTTTCCTTGGTGAAAATTATGTGTGTTGTTTCCCAGTAGTTGGGCCATATTATATCCAGAGTTTTCCCAGCCTGGGATTTGGCTGTAAAAGAGAGCAAATCATTTCCCAAGGCTTGTAGCAGTATCTCTTCTCACCAGAGTGGAATAAGAAGTTGGGTTTTCACAGAGAGTGGAAACTGCAGAGGACTTGAGACTTTCCTCATCTAAAGCTTACAATTTAGAAGTAATCTCAGCATCTAACATTTGTTAGTATTCAGTTTTAGGGGCTGAAATTTCTCTTTTTCAATTACACCTCAGCCATGATTTGTTGAAATCCTCAGATCTGTCTGAAGAAGAGGAAGCCACCCAGCTTCTGTGACTCTTCTTCCCTTTTGAGCACTCTGGTCTGAAGATAGGACAGTGAACCCATGACCTCACCGGCCATGGTCCTGAACAGCACTGCCATCTATGCCTGTTATAATGTAGTGACTATAAAATGTCTTGAATTATATAGAGTTTTATGACTTACAAAAGACTATAGTATTTGTTCTTGTTTGGTCCTGACTATACACATTACTTTCATTTTATATTAGAGGAAATGGAAATTTACAGAGGTTGGGTGAACTATTCCTGGGTCAAGTAGCTAAAAGTGTCAGTCACTATTAGATTTGAGATGTTTGAGGAAAGTAGGAGGTTAGGCCTGACAGCTTAAAATGAGAAACAGTTCATCAGCTCAGTTTGACAGCTCCTGGGTATTGATATAATCTCTGTATATGATTAAAGACATTTGTCATTTATGTTGACCCATCTGCAAATACTTTGGATTTTAAAACTTCATTTGCCTTTATATTCTGAGTAACTTGAAACCTTTGGTATCAGAATGTTGAGATGGTGCTTTGCACTTCTTTATTTGGGCCTGAGAATCTTGGATTGAAAAGAAAACTTCCTGACTATAATTATCCCTGAGGACCATGTGCGAATTAAAGCTGCTCCTGGCCAATTTGGCTAAATGGAAAGCTCATCAGCCCTTTTGCCAAAAACACACCTCCCTGACACCTGATCTTAGTGTTGCATCTGCCAAATCCAGAGATTGGGATGCAAGAAGGTGGCCTATTGAGGTTCTCTCTGTTTGGTTTTCTGAAAGGGAAGGCCTCTTAGAGGTCGCATAACCAAACTCTTAACCAGTGGACTTTATAGTAGTCTGCCGTACAGCATAGCATCTCTGAGAGAGGACATGATAGAACCTCCTAGTGGAAGGCATGGTGTTCTAGAAAGAGCTGGGATGCAAAGTCAAAAACCTTGCCCGCACTTGCTTTGAGACCCAGGTCAAGTTTCCTTGTAACGCTGAGCATCCACTTACCAGTAAATTTGTCCTGCCTTGATGTGCAGTGTTCTTGAGAAGCTCTGGGGGCAGTGATTCGGTGACAGCCCCTCACAGTCTGTGGGGCACGACACAGATACTAGTGGAGGCTGTCACTCTTCTGACAGTAGTTCAGAGTCCTTCACCCTCTCACCTGAGGCAGGAAGTAGTTCACCATCAACTGCATATACCAGTTATTCATAAACTTGGAGACATTCTTCTCAAATGGAGATCATCATTTCTCAGGATTAAATCAGATTGGATATATCCCTCCTTCCTCTTCCTTCATTCTTTGGAGGCAGTCTGTGTTAGTCCTTTCATGGACCCGTTTTGCATGTCTGATTTTAAATGAGCTTTGGGGATTGTTTCTTATTCAGTTAAGAAGTTACATTTTATTGAGCCTTTGAATCATTAGACAGTGGACATTTTATTTCACAGTGTGATGGGATTTAACTTCATTGGTTCACTTGGTATCTTCCCCACCCTAGACCTCCCGGGGTTATTCTCTAGTTGTGGAAACATTTTTGGACTAAGATGAATGAAGAGACTAATGTTTTTTCAGGAGTTTGCAGTATGATCTTGCATGTGTCACTGGACTTCTTTTGTTTCTATACCGTTATTTGTAAAGTGAGGCAGTGGACTGATTTCAGGATTGTAAGTCTAGCTTGCCATCTTTCTTTACTTAAATCTGCCGGATTTCTTTCTAGAATTCCTTTTGGCCTTACTTGCCAGATGTCAGAGATCACTGTGGGAAATGCCATAGAATAGGACCCTGGACACTTTAGCTGAAAAGGTTGTTTGCAATAGACAGCTAATGCCACCAAGTGAATGTGCTTAAACAATGTGACTGCCTACATATTTTTAAAAGGGGGCTGACTATACATTATGTTTGTATTCGATAACATATTGAGAATCAGAAGTGAGGCTTAGAAACTGGCTCATGATTGTGGGTATCGGCTATGTGTTCAGATTTCCAGGACTGTGTCGGAAGCCAGGCTTTAAGTAGACCTTTGATGAGGCAGTGTGGGGTTGTTTTCCAGCGTCACTCATCAGACTCCTGTTCTGCATTCTCAGGAGGAGACGAAGGCCCAGTTGTGTGTTCGAGTTGGATAGGCCTGGCTTGGATTTCTAGTTTGCCCTTTGCCAGGATTGTTGTGAGGGTTAAAAGAAATAATGGACATACTAGTAAAATGTAAGGTGCAGCACCAGGCACATAGCTCCCTAAAGAGCTGTTCTTAGGTGGTGGGGTTAATGAGGATTAGAAAAATATATAAACCACTTGGCACCATTGATGAGGCAGTATGGGATTGTTTTCCAGTGACACTCATCAGACTCCTGATGAATCATCAGATGAGTTGTTGCTACAGTTTGTAAGTTACAGTTGAACTTGCAAAATACAAAAATATATAAAGCACCATGCACTCCCCAGAGGTGAGTTTTTCTTTGCATATTCAACTTATTCACGTGTATATAGGGATAGAACTGTTAGGGTTTTCTTTTTCTTTCAAGAAAAATACTAATCTGCAACTCTCCTTTTTCACTGACCCATTTTGAGCACTAGCACTGGCTTACCCTGAAATTTGATCAAGCTTCTCCCTCCTGTGGAGCCAAGGTGGAGAGGACCGAGAGACCAGAGGCTCTGGACCGGCCCTGAAGCTCTGTGCTAAGAGGCTGGGCTGGGACTGGGAATGATATGGGGTGGCTCAGCCTAGGAGGCTCATTTGTAACCCTAGAGGTTTTCTTCCTTCTGCAGATGGTGGAAGAGAGTGAAGAACGGCTCACAGAGGAGCAGATCGAAGCGCTCCTCCACACGGTCACAAGCATTCTGCCTGCAGGGCCAGAGGCTGAGCAGAAGAAAACTACCGGCTGTGACGTGACAATGGATGAAGAGGACCCGGCATAGAAGAGCACAACTGGGCCAAGCATCTCATGAAGTTGAAAGGCCAGCAGCTGTTTTTCAGACATAGAGGACTGTTTGTTTAGTTTTACCCTCTATCCCAACCTACCTGATTTCATGGTTAGTTATTAGTGAGTTGGGTAAATCACAAAAGTAAGCCTTTCTCAAAAATAAGCTGAAGAGAGAAATATCTTTGCATCCAGGAGAGGAAACATGAAGACAGGCTGAGGTTGTCAGGGCAGAGAGCTAAAGAAAGGAGGGCCTAGTCCAGGGGTGGGCAAACTTTTTGACTCGAGTTCCACAATGGGTTCTTAAACTGGACCGGAAGGCCGGAACAAAAGCATGGAGGGAGTGTTTGTGTGAACTAATATAAATTCAAAGTAAACATCATTACATAAGAGGGTATGGTCTTTTTTTTTTTTAGTTTTATTCATTTCAAACGGGCCGGATCCGGCCCGCGGGCTGTAGTTTGCCCACAGCTGGACCCTAGTCAAAGAGGACAATGACTGGGGAACCCTCTGTGGGAAAAATAATTCTTTTGTGGCCTTTGCCACGTTTGTGGGAAAGTCCTTTATATGCCGCTAGTACAATACTTGCGTTGCCTTTGTGGGCTGTCCCACAAATTAGCTTCATCTACTTCCTCAGGGACTTCCCAAGCAGGGGCGCAGAGTGCTGTTGTAATGAGAACTGAGTTAGCAGAGTCCAGTTAGATGGCTAATCACTCCTAGACCAACTCTAGGTTAAAGTGAGCTGCTGAACTTGGCTCACCTTAGAGCAGCGGTTCTCAACCTGTGGGTCGTGACCCCTTTGGGGGTTGAACGACCCTTTCACAGGGGTCACCTAAGACCTTCGGAAAACACATATATAATTACATACTGTTTTTGTGATTAATCACTATGCTTTAATTGTGTTCAATTTGTAACAATGAAATTGGGGGTCACCACAACATGAGGAACTGTATTAAAGGGTCGCAGCATTAGGAAGGTTGAGAACCACTGCCTTAGAGGAATCTTTTCCTCAAGAACGGCAGAGATAAAAAAAGAACAGGTCTGCCAACCCTTCATCAGGTCTAAAGGCCCTTTTCCTCTATGGCGTGGGCTTTGTTTACCAGCCCACTATTTAGTCTTAAATGTTCAGGCACAGCTCATTCCAACTGAAAAGGCACTTCAAACTGATTGACTGGCAACAAATGCAGTGTTGGTTGCCTTTCTGACTGCCCTGGGCAGGTGCCACCTTGGAGACCAGGTGAGCTTCATTTGCACAACAGGCAAATTATTTGCATCTTTAAAAAGGGTACAGTTATGCACTCTTTTCATAGAATATGTAAGAAATAGAGGTTGATTAATGAGAATTTGAATTTATTGGCTATTGCAGGGTTTCAGTTTTTAAATTTTTAAAATATTTTGATAATTATGTGAAGAGCTTGTTAATAATATTCAAGCATTAGAGAGTTTAGTAGCTCCCAGATATGTGATTGCTTTTGGTCCTAGGGATATTGAAAGCAAATCTAATTTCCCATATTTATTCTTCTCCCTATTTGGGGAAGAAAATAGCCATAGACATTAATTTTCCAAATTGGCACTCATTTGTTGTAAGATTACATATTTTCAATGCTGCTGTTAATTGGGTTACTTCCCATTCCCTGTGATTTCTAGGTTTTTATTTTCTTTACCTCCTTCCCTCTCCCAGTTATAATAGTGTCAGTCTTAATCTTATCGTCTAAGGATCAGGGAGATCTGCTTACAGGCAACATTAAATGAACAGGACATTTATTTTTAAATCTTTCTTGAGTATTGGGAATTTTACCAGGGGCTATTTTTGTTAGTCAAGGCATACATGTGCTTATGTATTGTTTCATCTTAACCATGAGTGTGTTAGATTCTTTTGCTTGATGGATTTAAGGCTTAATCCACTTAATAATAAATTGTTTCCAGGTGACTGCCAACTTGGTTTTTTTTTATATATATATTTTATTGATTTCAGAGAGGAAGCAAGAGGGAGAGAGCATTATTGGTTGGCTGCCTCCTGCATGCCCCCCACTGGGGATCGAGCCCACAACCTGGGCATGTACCCTGACCAGAATTGAACCTGAGATCCTGCTGTTCACAGACCAACGCTCTATCCACTGAACCAAACTGTCTAGGGCAGGGGTGGGCAAACTTTTTGACTCGAGGGCCACAATGGGTTCTTAAACTGGACCGGAAGGCCGGAACAAAAGCATGGATGGAGTGTTTGTGTGAACTAATATAAATTCAAAGTAAGCATCATTACATAAAAGAGTACGGTCTTTTTTTTTTTTTTTTTTTTTTTTAGTTTTATTCATTTCAAACGGGCCGGATCGGTCCCGCGGGCCATAGTTTGCATTCTATTCAACCTTTAAACAGTATACTAAGAGAGAACTTGAGAAGCCTACTCCTGGGTCTCAAGAGCAGGAAAAGGGGTAGGACTACAGGCACCATTCCAATAGTCAATCCAATTATGCTTTAGATTGACTTTCTTTGATTGTAGGATCATGTACTTTGAAAACCACTTATCATACATAGAATATACCTTTGAATTAAGAATTGGAATCCTGCCCTAGCCGGTTTGGCTCAGTGCGTAGAACAGGGGTCCTCAAAATTTTTAAACAGGGAGCCAGTTCACTGTCCCTCAGACCATTGGAGGGCCGGACTATAGTTTAAATAAAAAACTATGAACAAATTCCAATGCACACTGCACATATCTTATTTTGAAGTAAAAAAAAAAAAAAACGGGAACAAATACAATATTTGTATTTGCATGTGGCCCGCGGGCCGTAGTTTGAGGACCCCTGGGATAGAGCATCAGCCTGCGGACCCGGAGGTCCCAGATTCGATTCCGATCAGAGGCACATGCCTGGGTTGTGGGCTCGATCCCCACTAGGGGGCGTGCAGGAGGCAGCCAATCAATGATTCTCTCTGATTGATGTTTCTATCTCTCCCTCTCCCTTCTTCTCTGAAAAAAAAAAAAGAATTGGAATCTTATTACATAAGAATATGAAATTCAATATTCTGATTAATTTTGTTTTATTTTATTTTTTAAAATATTTTTATTGATTTCAGAGAGAAAGGGAGAGGAAGAGAGAGATAGAAACATCATTGATGAAAGAGAATCATTGATTGGCTGCCTCTTGCACGCCTCCAATTGGGGATCCAGCCCGCAACCCGGGCATATGCCCTTGACCGGAACCAAACTTGGGGCCCTTCAGTTTGCAGGACAACGCTGTATCCACTGAGCCAAACCAGCTAGGGCTGATTAATTTGATTTTAGAATATAAGCTGTACTATTTGCCTAAGCAATATTCAAAAGTAAAGTAATTTTAAAAATTAAAAAATAAAGGATTTGTATATTTATTTAATATGAAATACATTTATTTGAAAAATATTAAAGGTATTTTATTTTGCTATTTTGACCAAGGTAAATTAAGATTTAGAAAAGTATAGATTGTTGTAGATTTTATTTTAAAAGTGGTTCTAGGCGTATGGAATACAAAGATAATGTAGAGTATCTCTGCTTTTAAAGGCACTTATGAGTCCTCTTAGGGACAATATGCAGTTCCTTATTAATACTGCTTAATAAATACCAAGAGAGAGGGAAGCAAACATATTATGCAAACACATTTGGAGGGGCATGTAACAAGGAGACTGCTCAGGAAGAAAAGGGAGTTTCACAGAAATCTATGTTAAGTAAAACCTTTGAATGTTAAATGTTGAGTGTGAATTAGCCATGCTTTATGAATTGATTGGTTTCCTCCAGAAAAAAAGATGTGTTGGAGTTCTAACCCCCAGTACCTCAGAATGTGGCCTGATTTTGGACATAGTATTCTTTTTACAGAGGAAACAAAGTAAAAATGGGGCCAGAGGGGTGCAGGATGGAGGGGGTCACTGGAGAAAAAAATGGGACGCCTGTAATACTTTCAAAAATAAAGATATAAAAAATGGGGTCATTTGGGTGGGTCCTAATCAATATGACTGGTGTCCTGATAAAAAGGGGACATTTGGCTCTGGCCAGCTTTGCTCAGTGGTTAGAGTGTAGGCTTGTGGATAGAAGGATCTCAGGTTCGATTCCTGGTCAAGGACACGTACCTGGGTTGCAGGTTCAATACCTGGCCTTGGTTGGAGTGCGTGCGGGAGGCAACCAATTGATGTGTTTCTCTCACGTCATTGTTTCCCTCTCTCTTCCCCTCCCTCCCTTCCACTCATTCTGGAAATCAGTGGAAAAAATATCCTCTGGTGAGGATTAACAACAAAAAAAAGGGGTGAGGGGCGTTTGGACACAGATGTAGAGGGAAGACAATGTGAAGAGACACATGCAGGAGATGGCCATGGACAGCCCAGGGGAGAGACCTAAAAAAAGCTCTCGGAAGGAACCAGCTCTGTTGACACCTGTAATTGGTGAATATAATTGATTTTGGACTTCTAGCCTCCAGAACTGTGAGATAATATATTTATGTTGTTCAAGTAAAAAAAGAAAACAATGAAAATGTAAGTATTCTAGGACGGTCATTCACAGTCTGGCCCCCTATAAAATTTCCAACTTTATTAGTCTTTTGCAAAACCTTCCATTCCAGCCAAATGGGTTCCCTCATTCATTAATCAACAAATTTTTATTGAGTATCTACCATGCAAGGCCAAGGACTGGGCAGTGGGGATAAGTTATGACTGTCATCCAGTGTCCCTGCTTTCAGAAAGCTTCATATTCTAGGGGGAGAGATGCTAAATGACCAGTTTCATAGTTCATTATTTAATTACAACTACAGTTAGAGTTAGAAATGAGAATGAGCTAAGAGAATACTAGTTCTATCTAATAAGGAGAGAATATGCTAATTGCCACGCCCTCAAAGATGGCAGCTCCCATAGCCACAAGATGGCAGCGCCCAGTCCCCTCAGCCCCACCGGGGCACCTGCCTCCAGAGTCCCCCAGTCCTCTCAATCCCCCAGCCATCTAGGGCCACCAAAGGCTCAGGTAATCAGGGCCGGCCGAGGCTTGCGCTGCTGGCAGTGGCAGCAGCAGAAGTGTGATGGGGCGTCGCCTTCCCCTGATCACCGGGTCGACTCCTGCCCCTGAGGGCTCCCAGACTGTGAGAGGGGGCAGGCCGGATTGAGGGATGCCCCCCCTCCAGTGCATGAATTTTCATGCACTGGGCCTCTAGTATATAATAAAAAACTTGACCTAGTCTGGGAGAATGAATAGAAGGATGAGAAGTTAGTGAATGAAAGAACATTCCTTGAAGATATTTTTGTGTTTTCTCATCTCTGTGCTTTTGTGTATACTGTGCCATCTGCTTGTACTGCATGCCTTTTTCAAGTATCCAAATTTTAACTCAAGATTTGGCTCATATCCCCCCTTCTCTAGAAAGCCCTTCCTAGTAATCTTCTGAAGTAGTCTCTCCTCACTATAAACTAGACACATTTGTTGGTTTTTAGCTGCCATATATGCGTGGACTTATATTTTTGCAATCCTTACCTTGCCCTATTACATAAATCTAGAAGTCACCCTTGACTCCAACCTCCATCCAATTCATTAGCAAGTCACATCTCTTTTAGTTCCATGCAGAATTTTTTGAGAAAGCAATGATTAAAGGACTAAATAATCTTAACTTTTTTACCTTTTTTAAATTGTAAAATAAAAGAGATATAAAAAAATCTCACATCAAACATAAATTACAGGAGCTGGATTATAAAGAGAATTTATATTATGATTCATAGCTTAATGAGTTAAAGGAGAATATCCTTATAACCGCTACTCAGGTCAAGAAATAGAACTACCCAGCAATACCACTTCTGGGTATTCAAAGAAAACCAAATTGGAGCATTATTTACCATAGCCAAGATATGGAAGCAACCTAGGTGTTCATTGATAGACTAATGGATAAATTTAAAAAATATCCTATATAATAAAAGGGTAATATGCAAATTGACCCTAACAGCAGAATGACCAGAATGACCTCTGGACCAGTCACTATGAGGCGCACTGACCACCTCTTGTTTTTTTTCCCCTGGCCGGCAGGCTCCAATCGCCCGATGGTGAACGGGGAGCCAGGGGTGGGTGGCGGGGTATGCGGGAAGCTCCAGGCCAAGGTCCCTGCCCCGCCAGTCATGCCACACACAGAGGGTAACCTGCGGCAGAGGTGGGGCCAGTGAGCGGGCAGGAACGGCCGACCTCTTGGTCCCTTCCCCCAGCCGTCAGGCTCTGATCACTCAATGGCAAATGGGGAACCGGGGGTGAGTGGCGGCAAGGGGCGGGGTCGGCTGCAGGCAGCTGGGGAAGATGGCCCTGATCGCAGGCCAGGCCTAGGGACCATACCTGTTCAAGAATTTCTTGTGCCAGGCCTCTATATAATAAAAGGGTAATATGCAAATTGACCCTAACAGCAGAACGACTGGGAATGACTGGTCACTATGACACACACTGACCACCAGGGGGCAGACGATCAATGCAGGAGCTGCCCCCTGGTGGTCAGTGTGCTCCCACAGGGGGAGTTCTGCTCAGCCACAAGCCAGGCTGACGGCTGCCAGTACAGCGGTGGTGGTGGGAGCCTCTCCTGCCTCCTCAGCAGCGCTAAGGATGTCTGACTGCAGCTTAGGCCTGGTCCCCGCTGGCAAGTGGACATCCCCTGAGGGCTGCCAGGCTGCCAGAGGGATGTCTGATTGCCAGCTTGGGCCTGATCCCCCAGGGAGTGGGCCTAAGCCAGCAGGTGGATACCCTCCGAGGGTTCCCAGACTGCAAGAGGCATAGGCCAGGCTGAGGGACACCCCCGAGTGCACAAATTTTTGTGCACCGGGCCTCTAGTGTGTGTGTGTGTGTGTGTGTGTGTGTATATATATATATATATATATATAGTGGGATATTACTCAGCAATAAAAATGAATGAAATCTTGCCATTTGGGACAATATGAATAGTCCTAGAGGGTATTATGCTAAGTG